CCATCCTGGGGCATTGGGGCCAGACCTGCCTGTCAGGGGAGAGCCCCCTCCCTGCCCCCACATAGCACAGTGCCTCCTAGTTCCGCCCTGGGGTATTGGGGCCAGCTGTGCCTGCCAGGGGAGCCGCCTCTCCCCACAGCACGGTGCCACCTAGTGCCATCCTGGGGCATCTGAGGAGAGGCATCAACTTGTCCCCCACAGCACGGCGCCCCCTAGTGCTGCCCTGGGGCATTGGGACCAGTGCTCCCTGCAGCACAGCACCCCCTGGAGGGCTCAGCAGGTAACCTCCCCCCCCCTTGGCTGCCCCCAGGTGTGCGACTCCGACACCAAGCTGGACCCCAGGGCCACGGTGGAGCTGGTGAAGGTTCTGGAGGCCAACGAGCGCTACGGGGCCGTGGGGGGCGACGTGCGGATCCTCAACATCTCCGACTCCTTCATCAGCTTCATGAGCAGCCTGCCTGGGAGGGGGGCCCCCCCCTGCCAGTCCTACTTCGACTGCGTCTCCTGCATCAGCGGGCCCCTGGGTGAGCCCCCGGCCCCCTGCTCTGGGTGGGGTGGGGCTGGTGGTTAGACTGAGTGGGAGGGGGTGGGAGTCAGGGCTCCTGGGTACTGTCCCTGGCTTTGGAAGTGGAACGATGCCTAATGGTTAGAGCAGGGGACTGGGAGCCAGGGCTCCTGGGTTCTCCCCACAGCTCTAGGAAGGGAGTGGGGTCTAGTGGGTAGACACAGGGTGGAGGCTGGGCTGCAGCAGGGGCCCGGAAGGGAGCGCTGGGAATTGGGTCTGTGCTGAGCTGCTGCTGCTTGCTGCCCTGCAGGCCTGTACCGGAACGCTGGGTTCTCCCCACAGCTCTAGGAAGGGAGTGAGGTCTAGTGGGTAGACACAGGATGGAGGCTGGGAGCCAGGGCTCCTGGGTACTGTCCCTGGCTATGGAAGTGGAACGATGCCTAATGGTTAGAGCAGGGGACTGGGAGCCAGGGCTCCTGGGTTCTCCCCACAGCTCTAGGAAGGGAGTGGGGTCTAGTGGGTAGACACAGGATGGAGGCTGGGAGCCAGGGCTCCTGGGTACTGTCCCTGGCTATGGAAGTGGAACGATGCCTAATGGTTAGAGCAGGGGACTGGGAGCCAGGGCTCCTGGGTTCTCCCCACAGCTCTAGGAAGGGAGTGGGGTCTAGTGGGTAGACACAGGGTGGAGGCTGGGCTGCAGCAGGGGCCCGGAAGGGAGCGCTGGGAATTGGGTCTGTGCTGAGCTGCTGCTGCTTGCTGCCCTGCAGGCCTGTACCGGAACGACCTCCTGCAGCAGTTCCTGGAGTCCTGGTACAACCAGAAATTCCTGGGCACCCACTGCACCTTTGGCGACGACCGGCACCTCACCAACCGCATGCTGAGCATGGGCTACGCCACCAAGTGAGTGCCTGGCCCGCACCCCTCAGGGCTGTCCCTGGCTCTGGGAGGGGAGTGGAGTCTAGTGGTTAGAGCGGGCTGGAGGGGGCCAGGACTCTGGGGCTCTCTCCCTGGCTCTGGGAGGGGAGTGGGGTCTAGCGGTTAGAACAGGCTGGAGGGGGCCAGGACTCCTGGGCTCTCTCCCTGGCTCTGGGAGGGGGGTGGGGTCTAGTGGTTAGAGCGGGCTGGAGGGGGCCAGGACTCCAGGGCTCTCTCCCTGGCTCTGGGAGGGGAGTGGGGTCCAGAGGAGAGTGGGGTCTAATGGTTAGAGCAGCAGAAACTGGAGCCTGGACTCCTAGGTTCTCTCCTGGGCTCTGGGATGGGAGTGGGGACTAGTGGTTAGAGCCAGGAGGGGGCTAGAGCCAGAACCCCTGGGTTCTCTCCCTGGCTCACAGAGGAGAGTGGTGTCTAGTGGTTAGAGCATGGGGGGAGGGGAGCCAGGACCCCTGGGTTCTCTCTCTGGCTCTTGGAGGGGAATGGGGGCTAGTGGTTAGAGCAGCAGCAACTGGAGCCAGGACTCCTAGGTTCTCTCCCGGGCTCTGGGAGGGGAGTGGGGTCTAGTGGTTAGAGCCAGGACTCCTGGCTCCCACCCCAGCCCTCCACTAGCTAAGCGATCCCTCCCCCCAGGTACACGGCCCGCTCCCGCTGCTACTCGGAGACCCCGGCCCAGTTCCTGCGCTGGCTGGCCCAGCAGACCCGCTGGACCAAGTCCTACTTCCGGGAGTGGCTCTACAACTCCCTGTGGTGGCACCGGCACCACCTGTGGATGACCTACGAGGCCGTGGTGGCCGGCGCTGTTCCCCTCCTGCGGGGGGCCCAGCCTGTGGGACGTGCTGTGGGTGCTGCTGTGCGTGCAGCTGGTGGCCTGCGTCAAGGCGCTGTACGCCTGCTGGCTGCGAGGCAACGCCCGCATGCTCTTCATGAGCCTCTACGCCCTGCTCTACATGGGCGGCTTGCTGCCCGCCAAGTACTTCGCCATCGCCACCATGAACAAGAGCAGCTGGGGCACCTCCGGCCGCAAGAAGCTGGTGGGCAACCTGATGCCCCTGCTGCCCGTCTCCGTCTGGGCGCTGCTGCTCCTGGCCGGGCTGGGGGTCACCATCTACCAGGAGGCCCAGGCCGACTGGGCCAGCCCGGTCAAGCAGGCCGAGCTGGGCTACCTGTTCATCGGGCTGGGCGTCTACCTGGGCGACTGGGCGGG